ATTTTACGAAGTCATTCATATCCAACATTTCTCTATGATTTCCAACATATTACGTTTGTCATTGTATTCTTTGGCATTACGCGTCTCTTAAGCGCTGGCAAATTTGTAATCTTCATCATGTTTTTGTCCTCCGTAAATCCACTCTCGCATTCGCCAGACTTTAATGAACGGTTACGCTGATGTCTTCGGTATGGTTCTGTGCCTCTCTTCATTTTGCAGCTTAAAAGATGTTGTGAGTCTGGTATCCAAAGAGACACCCTTTGATTGGTTTTCTGACTTACAATCCCTTTCATTAGCCAACATTTTGAAATGTTACAGGAACTGCGCGAATAAGCTCATGCATCAAGAACAAGGTCTTGCTTTAAAACCTTTTTATATACAGGGGTTGCATCCCCCTGATGAATCCCTTCCATAATGCACAAAGAGAAGTGAAAAAGGGGGAGGAGTGGAGGGGGAAGGAAAGAGAGCCGCGCTATGGTTCATTCTTTAAAACAAATTCATTCTTCAAAACAAGTTCATACTTCTAAGAAACACTAATAAAGTCAGCGGAGATACCTAAATTAAAAACGAAGCTTTAGCATTATAGATGATCCATGGATAAAATGTGCCGCCTATCGTGTTAAAAACTACCCTTGCAAAATATGAGCATGGTTTGATAACTTGGTTTTTTTTCCATTTTTTGCTTAATATACTGTGACACGAACAACTATGTAAATGAACGAACATTCTGGAAGTAAACATGTCACTACTAGTTCATGATAGTCCAACAATCTCAATACTAGACTACGGGTACACCTGGTATTGTTAATCTTCAAAAATTCAATGATTTCACTCAACCACCAGAAAAATTTATATTACAATAAATTGCTATGAAGCCAAGCTTGTAAAATGTGCGAGGGCTGCATTAACCTATACGTTTCCTATCTGTAATATTCTAACGTTGACGCATAGCTTGTTGTTAACACGAAGAAGGAATAAGAAGCATAGAGGTACAATTAGTCACATAAAAATTAAACTAAATCCCATTAAATGATGTAACAACGAATTTAGAGACGCGACTCGTCGTGTCTACTCTTTGCAACGTTGCAAGAAGGGCTGGCAGAATTACTTCATGTCATGTTGTTTAAGGCGACATAACATAAAAAAGCCAAAAGAACCTTAACAACTTCAAAATGTCTAAAGAGAACACAGAAATACTGAAAATTGCTGAAGCAGAATCCTTGGTTACCATCGCGAATGCACTTTTGGTTAACCACAACATATTAAAGTTATCAAACCAAATTTGCTAGAATTCAATTTCATTTTATTGAGTGAGAGCGTCAGTGAAGAAGCATAGCATTTTTAACGAACGTAATCTCGTATTTGGAAGAAGCAAGTGTGATGATCTGCAGTTCACTGAATGATGATTAATCCATCACCTTGAATCTGGCATCGAAGTTATATTTGTCTTGCTTGTGCTCCATCGTTGAATACGAAGGCATTTAAGAGTAGGTGTGACGGGGTAGATGACTTCTGTTGACCTTTAGCGATGCCATTAATGGCTCAAGTTAGCGCTCTTGCTATCTTAAGAAATAGAGCACTGAAGAACTGTGTTTTCAATGATTGCTTGCACCTAGGTAGTTACTTTCAACTGAACAAAAATAAGCAACCATGAAAGAAAAAACCGCCTTCTACTTCCAACCCGTGATTCAGTTATCGTTACAACATCATACTTCAAATTTTGCAAAAGGCGGAGCATAAAAAATTGTAACTGTCCCAGTGCGAACCCTTTAATGCACACATAGGTAGTTTAAAGGTAATTGATTTTCAAAGTGAATAAAACACAAGCAGTCAAGATCAGATGTTTTATCGAGTACTATAATCAAACACATAGTTGTGAATTGCGGCTTAATGTTATTGAAGATATGAATAGTTACAAATTGTTGAATATGTGACACAAAAACCAAATACTTCCAAGCCCTTATTTGTACGGTTAATGCTCTGGGGCATGTTCATTTACGACGGTGTTTAGAGCGGTAGGAATAGGGGGTGTAAGAGGAAGAGGTGTTGTTGTTTTCTTTTCTTCAGCACCCTCTCGTTTCTTCTTGAAGAGTTTGTTTTTAACCAGCATTCTGGCGGTCTTTGGCATGATGCTCTTTACAACAGATTTCTAAAAAAACAGTCAACTCATTCTTTCTCGCACCTCCTCTAAGTTGAAAAAAGTCTGTCGTACATTCTCGTTACCAACAACGGTATTTCCTGTTTCAGTAGTGGCTATAGTCGTTCTTTTAGACTCCTAAACATCTAGGATTTTATATCTTCCTTTTTGAAGTATTACTTGTTCGTTTGCGCAAAGATTTACTCTAACTAAACTTACATTCAAAAATTCTACATTAGTTCCAATATCCGCAATTTCGTTGAGTTTAGGATCGAACTGAATGTTTTTCAGAGCAGTACCAGTCGTGTTGTCGTCAAGCGCATGACGCTAAACAGACGCTTTTGGGTACGAATATGGTAGTAAAGAGATAACGAAGTCAGAAGAGGTTTTTGCAGTAACTTAGACAAAGCAAATGGACAATAACCCGGGAAAAGATATACTTACAACTGGCCCTTTTAGTTTTGCATCGAGAACAAGAGGTCCAGTATGACTGAACTTTGCAGCGCTGATATTTTCTGACTCCATCTTTCTGGGCATTTTCCTCTAAATTGTAATATGGCTTTACTTTTGAATCAAACAGAAAAGGATTCAAAAATGCTCCAAAAACATACAGCTTTTTGTGGTTGCTGCTCCAGTACAACTAAAAAAAAACTTCATTATAACCTCCCCATATATGAAAATGACTGTCACTTGTTAGTTAAGCATTTTTTGAG